GTAAGCAGATGCTGCAGGCTGGGTCACCTGGACACGGCGCCCCACCCGGGTTCCCCTGGCTTAGCATAGTTTTCACTAAGTAATATGCTGTATTACTTAGTAGTGTTTTTAATAATGTGAAAAGCACATTTTGGTTTTTAAACAAATTTTTGCTTTAAAGATATAAATGTTTCATATTAATAATACTTATGAATTTTATTTCTTTTTAATTTTCATTTTTTTAATTGTAAATCGACATTATAGTTGTGTATGTTTACGGGGTACAAAGTAATTTTATGACCTATTTAGTACAATGTGGTATAATTAAATCAAGCTAATTTGGGGGGGTCAAGCTAATTAACATGTCTGTCACTTTAAATACTTATCATTTTTTGTGGTAAGAACGTTTAAAATTTACTCCTAGCAATTCTGAAATGTACATTACATTATCATTTACTATATTCACCGTGCTGTGCATTGTATCTCAAAAAAAACCTTATTGCTCCTGTCCAGTTGAGGTTTGTACCCTTTGACCATCATCTCCCCATTATTTCCACCCCCCACAGATTTTATTTTGATTTTTTTTTCTGGGGTACTTTTTAATACCTGGTACTTTACCTTTTTTAGTCTTTTCATGATGTGTGTAGATGCTTATGGTAAATAGCTTAAAACTTAAATGTATGTCAAAACTTTTGTGGCCACGGCTTTTTTGTCTTTTTTTTTCCCTTAAATTTTAAGAGTTAAGAATATTCATATATTCATTCAGCATGTATTTGAATGCCTAATACATGCCATTTTCTGCGTTAGGAACTGGGAATTAAAGCAGTGAATAAAACAGATCTGTCACAGTGCTAACTTGCCAGGTGGGGACACCAAGTTAGTAAATACATATATAAGGCCAGTAATAATAAATGTTACAAAGAAACAAATGAGGTAAAAGGGGCTAGAGAGTGGTGGTAAGGAATAGGTGCTCTTTTAAATAGGGTGGTCAGCCTGTAATCCCAGCACTTTGGAAGGCCGAGGTGAGAGGATCGCTTGAGGCCAGGAGTTGGAGACCAGCCTGCGCAACATGGAAGACCCCGTCTCTACAAAAAATTTTAAAAAAAAAAGTAAGCTGGATATGGTGCACACCTGTAGTCCTCACTACTCAGGATGCTGAGGCAGGAGGATCTCTTGAGGCTGGGGTGGGCTGTGCTTGCACCACTGCACTCCAGCCTGGGTGACAGAGTGAGACCCTGTCTCTAAATAAATAAATAGAGAGAGAGAGAGAGAAGTTGGAGAGAGCCCCTCAGCATGAAATAAGTTTTCAGGAGAGACCTGAACAAAATGGGGGAGTAAGCTATAGAGGTATCTGCTATATGCTAGAAAAATTACCTGTCATTTCACATTCTAAAATTTTAATAATGAGTACATTTATTTCACAAATAACTTGAGAACTAGTTATATGCAAGGTATAATTCTAAGAGCTCACTCTTCTTAATCTAATCATTTGATTTTTCCAATAGACCAAAGAAATATGTTCGGCTTCAAAATTAGCTTTTTTAAATTTATTTTTATTTATTTTTTTAAAGACGAGTATCTTGCTATATAGCCCAAACTGGCCTTGGAACTCCTGGGCTCAGGTGATCCTTCCACCTCAGCCCTCCCGAGTAGCTGGGACTATAGGTGTGCACCACCATGCCCAGCTCAGAATTTGCATCATACATACAAATAAAATTCTCTTAAAATGTATCATTAACATATAGTTGATGTTCTCTGAAACGTATAAAAAGACAGCTTTTAAAATTGACTAGGGGCTGGGCATGGGGCTCATGCCTATGATCTCAGCACTTTGGGAGGCCAAGGCAGGAGGAATGCTTAAGGCCAGGAGTTTGAGACCAGCCTGAGCAGCATAGCGACACCCTGTCTCTACAAAGTAAAAAAAATTATTAAACTCACATGGTGGTGCACACCTATAGTCCCACTTACTTGGGAGGCTCAGGCAGGAGGATCGCTTGAACCCAGGAGTTTCGGTTGCAATGAGCTATGGTCATACCACTGCACTCCAGCTCTGGCGACAAAGTGAGACCCTGTCACGAAACTGCATCTTCGTGAGATGTTATGTATTTTCTATCTGGAAAATCTTTTATTCCCAGAATTCTTTAAAAGAGATGTCCCTGGGGTTCCATTATTTAACCTGTGACTCTCAGTGGAGATTGTACCCAGCCCCTCTAGGGGAGCTGAATCTGTTGGAGGAGGGGAGTAGAAAAAAAGCTGCAACTTCATATGGGTATCCTTCTCACACAAACCTAGGGAGCCCACACAGTGCGCGGTCAGAGATGACCCCACTCGGACCTTCTTCAGATTGGAAAGCAGTGGACTGTAAGAGAGAAAGGTGGCTTACTCCTGCAACACTTGCAAGGGTGATTGACCAAGACCCCCAAAGCCAAAGCAGCGGGCATCCTCACTTCCTGTGTCCCTTCCACCAAACACCTAATGGCTTCTGGATACAGGATCATTAGGACTCAGAGTGGCCTGTCTGCTTGGCCACCTCCCCTCCCTTCAGAAATGGCGAAGGGAATTGCTCATTCCCAGGAAGGGGAAATGGCTTTCTCACCTTCCGGTTGAAAAAGGTTGGCAGTAGGTGAGGAGAGTGTCAGGTGAGGATCTCTTTGGGCGTACCCATTTGGAGCCAAAATCTCTGTTTCGATATCTGGCATTTAAAACCTGGCTACTGTCCATTGCCCGTGTGTATCTATTATCAGAACGCAGAATTCTTGAACTCCCTGCTACCAAGTCATGCAAACTACAAAGGAAAAGGAGTTAGTTGCCTTCTGGAAAAAGTATAAAAAACATTCATTCCTGCATAGTTTTTGTCTTGTGAAATCATAGTTGCTGTTATTAGCAGCTTTTCCTTTAGCTTTTAATATTGACTTTTTATAGTGTTCTGACACATTAACTTCTGGTGTTCTTGGAAATAGCCTAGGTGTAAAATGTAAAAAGTGGACATTTTCAATTTGCAGTTTTGTTTAGTTTTGAAACTTACTGAAGTTTGTTCTAAATAACATCCCCTTCTTTCTCCCTTGACCCCTTTTTTAAAAAAAAAAAAAAAAAACTCCACCAGGTATCCGTTACAGCACTGACGTGAGTGTAGATGAAGTAAAAGCTTTGGCTTCTCTGATGACATACAAGTGTGCTGTGGTTGGTAAGTGATCACCTTTTTTTGCTACCTAATAACTCTTTGGGGAAATATGTTTATACACAAGGTTACTTTTTAAGATGCTTTAGAAATAGACCTTATCAGAACTGATTTTTTTAAAAGTTGTGCTCTTTAAGACTTAAACATCATTTTTTATTTAATCTTAATTAAGATTTCGTCTTTTCTTAAGTGGGGGTTTTTATTCTAGGAACTAATTGGATTTTCTTTTAAGTGTGTTTATTCTAAATCATTTTCCATATTCTATAAATAATACCAAAACATAGCGGAAGGAAAGTAAATGGGGCATTATCTTTTAGAGTAGTAAAGAGCACTGATTTTTTTTTTTAAGAGCACTGATTAAATACACATTATAACTTGGCTAGCCTTGTAATTTCTGTTCAAGAAAATTTTATTTAAAGTAGAACATTTTAGAAGAGATCAGTGTGGGTTTATTTCGGAATTTTCTGAAATTCAAGCTTAAAGCATCACACATTTTTTTTTTTTTTTTTTTTGCTTTTATGTGGAATAACGACTTTCCTTTCAGATGTGCCATTTGGGGGTGCTAAAGCCGGTGTTAAGATCAATCCCAAGAATTATACCGTAAGTATCAAAGCGCTATTTGTGCATTTAAAAGGAGTTGAAATTGCTGGACTTCTGTATATCCCCCATACCAGTGAGATTAATGGTCCAAGTTGCTTTTCAACTGGAATGGAAAACAAGTGAATAATTAATTCGTTGAATGTTTTGCCATATAAAAGGTCAGCTACTTAACGTCAATGTCTTTTTTCATTACTTGGTTAAAAGGTGATTAAGGCCGGGTGTGGTGGCTTACACCTGTAATGCTAGCACTCTGGGAGGCCAAGACCGGAGGATTGCTTGAGCTCAGGAGTTCGAGACCAGCCTGAGCAAGAGCGAGACCCATTCTCTACTAAAAATAGAAATATTAGCTGGGCGTCATGGTGCAAGCCTGTGGTCGCAGCTACTTGGGAGGCTGAAGAAAGAGGATCGCTTGAGCCCAGGAGTTTGAGGTTGCAGTGAGCCTTAATGACACCATTGTGTTCTACTCCGGGGCAACAGAGCAAGACTGTCTCAGAAAAAATTTTTTTTACCATTTAAATGGAAATATACATTTAAAGGCTCATAGGGAGGCTCATAGGGTCCATATTAATACAATTATGTCATTTTTCAATTAGTGTTGATTAAGATTCAATTTTTTTTAAGTGGAGGATTAATACAAAGAGGAACTGAGATTTAAGCCCTCATTCTACTATTTTGTTTTTATAACCTAATTTCTGATCCCTTGTTTTCTCATCTTCATATTATAGAAATGCCTAATTTATGAGTCATTCTAAAGATTACATGAGAAGATGTATGAAAATGTCCTATAAATAGAAAATAGAATGCCAACTATAATCTCCAAGTAATTTTTATATCAAACTTTTTTTCATTGTTGCTTTTGTTTCTGTTTTTTTCCTTTATAGGACAGTGAATTAGAAAAGATCACAAGGAGGTTCACCATGGAGCTGGCAAAGAAGGGTTTTATTGGTATGTATTGCCATGTATTAATAGATTTCTGTATAAAGTGGAAACACCTAAAAAGTAATTATGTTAAACTCTTGCTTTTATCTGTATGTGCCTGAACGGAGTTGCCCTTTTACTTTGAGACAGTAGGTTCTGTTATAGACCTGGTGAGAATACTTGGGCCCGTGCGTGACACATTTCTAATAGAAAGGTTCAGATTCTCAGTGTGCAGTATGGGCACCAGGGAGAGATCTCCTCCCCTCTTCTCCTTGTACAGACATTGTGAGAGTTTTGATCAGTATAGCAGCATTTACATTATCTACTGAGACATCCGGAAAGACCAAGGCCGTACTTTTAAAACTAAATAATATCTGAATTTAAAACATTTTTTAATATGTGAAAGCAGCTTTTATAATAGCAGTTCTATAGTTCCTAAAGCAGTAAGAAATCTGATGCCTTTTGGACATGGAGGTTTTAAAGGGTCATAGCTGTCTCTTTAAAACAGTGGGACAGGCAGGGAGGTTAATGTGATCTCTTTTGGAGAATTCCTGAGACTCCCGCTATTTGTTATAGGAGCTTTTGCCAAACACACTAAATTTCACCTAAATTATACCTCCCAACTCATTCTATGAGGTCATTATTACCCTGATACCAAGATTGGATAAAGACATCACAAGAAAACTATAGACCAGTCTCCTTTCCAGTAGCATCAAAAGGAATAAAATACTTTGTTGTTAGACTTTTATACTGACTACTACAAAACATCATTGGAAGAAAGCAAAGAGCCCTAAATAAATGGAAAGACAGCCCATATTCAGGATTGGAAGACTTAATATGATTAAGATGTCAGTACTCCACAAATTGGTCTACAGACTCAACACAATCGCTATCAAATCTCAGTTCCTTTTTCTGCAGAAATTGAGAAGATGATCATAAACTCACAATGTGACAAGGCCAGGGTCTGAGCCTCAATCTGAAACTCTCTGTGGAAACACAAGTCAACAAGTAACATAAACAATTCAAGGCTTGCCCAGAAGTGAAGAAAAACTCCCTTTGCCTACCTGCTAGGTGCAAAGCTTTGTGGTGCAGAAGTCAGTTTAGTTCTATAGGGATTGTGTTGAATCTGTCCAGTCTTACTATCAGGGTAATACTGATGCCGTAGAACGAGGTGGGAGGTGTTCCTTCCTCTTCTCTTTTTTGGAAAAGTTTGTGAAAGGTTGGTGTTAATTCCCTCGTGTGAGTTTAGATACCACCTTTGTAAACTATGAAGTGCTCCAGCAGGTCCCTGATGTCTCCACATCTTCTCATCCCCGTGTCTCCATGCACACAGTTACTTTCAGCTCTCACCCTGTGTTCATGCTCTGTTACAGCAGCTGCTTTTTTTAAAAGGGTGGACTTCTATCCCAGACCTGTTCTCTGTATATTTGAGAATTTATCTGTTATTCAGGAATTACTTGTTATCTGTGCATCCTATACATTGGTTTTATATGGAGTAGAAAACTCATAAGCCTAATAATTAATACTTTGTGCTTTGTTTTGGGTAGGGCAACTGTCTCATCTTTAGCGTGTCTAGACTGATGTTTTTGAAGCAGCTGATCATTCTACATGTCTGATTTACCAGCTCTATCCCTCAGACTTGCCATTTGCCAAAGCCCTTCTCCAACTAGAATTATTCTCTGAGGCAACAACTTATTTAACCTTAATATTGTTAAAAACAAGCAGTACTTTTGTAGATACCTCTAGAAGGATTCAGGAGCAAATTGTCATTTGTGCCGTGAGGGAAAAGGAATGTGGTTAAACAGAGTTGCACTGGCTCTGGCTGAGGCATGTCTCTAAAGGCAGAGAGCGGGAACGAACGGGAGCAGCAAAGCCCTGTGTCGGGAGGAGGAGAGATTGGCCTTAACCCTTGCAAGTAAGAGTGCTGCGCGGGGTGAGGGCAGGTGTGGGTAGGTTGGACTTCATGAGATTTATAAGGTGGCCAAGAGAAAGGGTGCTAAGGTGTAGGAAAGTTACAGATTGGGCTGGGGTCGGGGTGTAAAAAATGACGCTTGAGCATTTCTAAGTTGTCTTATGCCAGCCCTGTGCCCTTGACAACACTGCTTGTTCAAAGAAGTACATTTGCTAGGGCCTTTGACTTGTAGAAAAACATAAAAATATACCTATTCTGTTGGCTAAAAAGTAAAAATTATAGGAAGAACTTGGGAATAGGAATAGCCCTTAGAAAGGACTTAAATTATTTTCTGTGGGGACCATTTATATAGTTGTGTTTTTCTTTTTATGAAGATAATAAGTTCGTATTATACAATTGAAATAATATAGAAAATTATAAATGAGGCTGAAATTCAAAGAGAACACAATGAATAAATTTATACATAACTTTCCAAACCTCTGCATACTACATACAGACACACACACACACACACACACACACACACACACACACACATATGAAAGTAGAAAGGGAAGGAAATAGGAGAAGTAAGGAAAAGAATTTTACGGACATGGGAACGTATTATACATGCTGTTTGAAACCTGCCTTTTTCCACATGTATGCTTTGGTGATGATTCCAAGTCACTTACATAGATATAAATCCTTTTTAATGGTTGTGTAGTACTTCCTTGTGTAGGTATACCATATTTCATTTAATTGACATACTAGATACTTAGATGGTTTTCGTTTTTACTATGTTTGAGAGGAGTATTTCTGTGCCTTTACAGATTTGAGTGAGCATCATTTAACACATTGTTATCGGAGATCTCATGGCAGCCATCAGTATTAGTGCCATCAGCGATATCTGTAGCTGCTTGTGAGCTAACTTCTTGTTATCCTCAAACTTTTTAATTTGCTGTGATCTGAGGAACTGAAAGCCAAGGCCTGAAACTTTATATACGCCAAGTGTTGAGTAATAGGGCAAACCAGCATTCTTCCACAAGGAAGAGTATGGTGCTTAACACAATTGCTTCAGCAGTGTGACTTTCTCCCGTCTCTGTCTACTTGGTGAGGAAGGCTTACACCCCCAGTAAGCAGTGTATTACTATACTATCTCATAGATGTATATCCCTAACCATAATAATCTGCTTTTGTGGGGCAAGATGGTACTGTTATCTCTGATTATAGTTTAGGGAACCAAGGTCAAGAGAGGTTCACCTGATTAGCCTCTGGTCACACACACAGGAGTCCTGTGGGGGTGGCTTATACCTGTTGTGCATAGCTAACTTCCACACACAGAGCAAGTAAATGCCCGTGGGAGAGATGACCACGTAACACGTGTTTCTAAGTTTAGTAGTGAAATTGAAATGTTTAATGAGTATTTTTATGACTTTGATTAGTTGCCTAAAGAGATGTAAAGTTTTCTAGCCGTGGTGACTTTGTTATTAGAGAGAATTACAAGGATTTTTGTGTTTGAAAAGAGTTTATCTTAAAAACTGGTGCATCGTCTTATAGTTTCCTCCCAAGATGCTTGTGTCGTTTTACCTTTTCGTCATCTCTTTCCCTCCTAAAATGGTCTGGGAAAATTGGTTTGTTCCTAAAGTATGGTGTCTGTTTTCATACTGGATTTTGAAAACCTGCTTTGGATGTAAGGTCCAGGGCAAAAATAACAGCTGGTAAGGTTTAATTATTCCTTTCATCCATTCAACGAATCTTTATTAACTTCCACGCTGTGGGGAGCACTGGGAAAGATGATAGAAACACAACGAAACAAAAATGTCCTCATTGCTCTTAAGGAATCTTTCTGAAGCCTCAGTTTCCTCACCTGAAAAATGACAATAGTAATAATAACCCCTGTCTTTCACAGTTGTTATAGTAGTTAAACAAGGTAATATGTGTTAAGTTTTTAGCAGAGTGTCCAGTGCATTGTAAGCACTCAGTAAAACTGGCTGTTACTAAATTAGGTAGAAAGATGATAATACTAGTGTTTCAACTGATAGGCAAAAGGTATATTGTAGTGTTATCATGGTTTGAATAAAGAAGAACTTACAGAAGAAAAAGGAAAAAAAAAGAACTGGTGCACTACCCTTTCCCTGTGTCCCCAGGTCCTGGCATTGATGTGCCTGCCCCGGACATGAGCACAGGCGAGCGGGAGATGTCCTGGATCGCTGACACCTATGCCAGCACCATAGGGCACTATGTGAGTACCCACCAGGTGCCCCAAGGCTACTTCATTTGCGGTTTGTGAGAAATAGCAATTCAATTGATTATATGAGAAGTTGAGAATCACTGGGTTTTTTCTTCTCCCCTTTAATCATAATCTTGATGTGCATATTATTTTACGTCGATTTCTCTGTTCTTAAATTGTAAATGTAATGAACAATGATGTCAGTAGATGGAGATTTTACTTATATGCTATTCTATACTGGGCACTGCAGTGGGACCCTCACTAGGCAGGGAAACACACTCTGCTGAGATGCTAGAAGATAGAACAAGAAGCCTTCAGTTCCGGCCAGGCGCAGTGGCTCATGCCTGTAATCCTAGCACTCTGGGAGGCCTAGGCAGGCGGATTGTTTGAGCTCAGGAGTTCAAGACCAGCCTGAGCAAGAGCAAGACCCCGTCTCTACTAAAAATAGAAAGAAATTAGCTGGACAACTAAAAATATGTAGAAAAAATTAGCCATGATGGCACATGCCTGTAGTCCCAGCTACTCGGGAGGCTGAGGCAGGAGGATCGCCTGAGCCCAGGAGTTTGGGGTTGCTGTGAGCTAGGCTGACGCCACGGCACTCACTCTAGCCAGGGCAACAGAGTGAGACTCTGCCTCAAAAAAAAAAAAAATTTCATTTAAAGAGGAGCTAAGACACATATGCAGATTAGGTATGGAAACAGTGTGGATAGCACGGTTTCTGAAAGAAGGCTTTCTAGAAGAGAGATTTGGGCTAGACCTTGAAAATGGGTAGAATTCAAACATCTGGAGATTCAAGGGATAAGAGGAAGACAAACAGCAGAGCTCAGATTGTCCGAAGGTAAGGCATATTCATAAAGGTGATAAAAGATGAGAGTGAAGAGGTAAGTGAACAGGCCAAAACACCAAGCCCTAGTGTTTATGTTTTACCTGGTCGTCAGTGGAGAGCCTTTGCTGCCGACCCTTCCTTAGGAAGAACAGGCTGGTAGCAGTGTCCGGCTGAACTGGCTCTGGGAGAGAATCCCTTCTGCAGTGTCAGTGCCCAGAAGCCAGAGGACTGGGGCAGGGCATTGGCACCTATGAGGGACATGACAAAGAAAGACTTGGCGAGATTGGGTGGGATGTGTGGGATCAAGGAAAGTACCAGGTTGAATCAGAGAGAACCAGGAAGAACTGAGTCTGGGGACTGAGCAGAGATAGTGCCACCAAACAGAACGCAAGAGGAAAAAATAACTCCCATCCCTAAGAGAGATGGAACCTTGAGGAGCAGAAACATTTAAGGAGTAGGAAGAGAAATGGAGTTGGAAACAACATTCAAGGCCAAGTGTAAGCAAGGTGTTTGCTACAATTGGGATAAATACTAGAAGCGGTTTTGAAGCCGTGAAAAAGAATAATGGGTCCATGCAAACCGTTCCAGGTAAGGTCAGAAAAGGCCTCCTAGACGATGTAAACGTCAGGTCTGTGCTCTGAGGGATGAGTGGACATGGACTAGGGGAAGAAGTAGTGGCAGGTATTTGGGTCAGAAGGAAGCACCTGGGTGAAAGTTCTGAAGTTCCGAAGCAACATGAACTCAGGAGGCTAAGGGATAGCTGTTGTGGCCAGAGTCGGGATTGAGGTGGGAGAGGGGGCAAGAAAGGCCAGTAGAAGGAGGACCAGGCCAGGTTACTGCCTGGGAAGTGACCATAAGGACTTCAGTCTTTGTCCCGAAAACAGGGAAAAGAGTGAAGAGTTAGTTATGAGCAGATGTGTGACATAGCTGAGTGTGTGTTTTAAGCCTTGCTCTGTGTGCAGCAGAAAATGGGATTGTTGAGGGCAGGAGACTCTTCCAGGGGCCCAGAGGGAAGAGGGTTGTGAAGACGGAAGTGGGGCCTCTAACTAAGAAAAATGGCGCTGAGGAGAAACAGAAAGAAGACAGCTTGAGAGGTGGCCATTGCCTGAAGAAAAAGGTTTTTGTTGTCCTTTAGAGTGTTTATTGGGGCAAGGGATAGACAATGCAAAAGAGATGCAGGATGGTAGATGTAGCAAAGTCCCCAAAGGGAATAAAGGCTGGGGGACTTTTTCTCTTAAGGGCCCTGGCAGAAAGACAGGTCTTGGGAAAGAGGAGGAAGGTAGAGGTGAGCTGTCTCCAGAGGTGGGGTTGGGCTGTGATGGGAGCGTGTGCAGCCCTGGATTCCAGCCCTGGGTCCTCGGCCTCTCTGGGCCTTGGGCTCCTCTCATGTAAAATGACAATGATGATAGTACCTGCTCTGTGAGACTGTTGTGAGGATTAGATGAATAATAATTTAATACACTTAAGAGCAGTACACAACCCTTACTTAATAAGCACCAAAAAATAAACATTTATAAGTGTTACATCAGGTAAATTATATAACTCCCCTGAAATAAAATGGAAGCATCAACACTCCAAAGAATTGTGGTTTTCACTGCCATTCCCAAAAAGGACACTTCCAGAATCTGTCGCTTTTTTATGTTAAATGAGCTCTGGGCATGGTCTCTTGTTCGCTTTAAGCAAGACACTAGATTAAATAGTGCAAACTAGGCCGGGCGTGGTGGCTCACGCCTGTAATCCTAGCACTCTGGGAGGCTGAGGCGGGAGGATCACTCAAGTTCAGGAGTTCAAGACCAGCCTGAGCAAGAGTGAGACCCCGTCTCTACTAAAAATAGAAAGAAATTAGCTGGACAACTAAAAATATATAGAAAAAATTAGTCAGGCATGGTGGCACATGCCTGTAGTCCCAGCTACTTGGGAGGCTGAGGCAGGAGGATCGCTTGAGCCCTGGAGTTTGAGGTTGCTGTCAGCTAGCCTGACGCCATGGCACTCTAGCCCAGGCAACAGAGCAAGACTCTGTCTAAAAAAAAAAAAAAAAAAAATAGTGCAAACTGGTAGGCAGTATATTGTTGTTATTCATAGTTCATTCTCAATGGTGGCAGCAAAAGAAAGTGTTGTGAGGCACTGCCAGCTAAAACCTTGGACTAGTAAAAAGATTTTCCTTAAGTGATAGGAAAATCCAAAATCAAGGCCTAAGGTAAGGAAGCTGTAGTTTTTGTTACTCGTATCTAGATGTGAACTGAAACCACGAGGTTCCCTTTGTCTAGCCCCACCTGGAAGTGTGGTGTCGGCGGGAGAGTGTTTTCCCCTGGGCTTCCAGAGCCATTAGGTATGCTGGGGTGGGCGCCTGGCAGTTGGCACCAGGCCTGACCTCAGACAGTATTTCCTTCAGCTCCAGCATTTGCATTCTGGCTGTCTAAAAGCATTTGGCACTAGATTTGCAATTCTGTATTCATAAGTGTTAATTATTCATGAAAGCAAACTGTGGGAAAACTACTACTAATTCAGTAAATCACTTTACTAGACTGCCTTTTTTTTTTTTTTACTTGCTTTCATTTTTTCTGTTGGTAATTATACAAGTAATATACTTTTAAGTTCTCTCTGTGAAAATGTCTAAACGATACAGATGAAGACCAGGGGACGTTTTAACTCACCCAGCAGGAGCGTAGGAGCATGCTGGGGGTTAGGGATGTGGCGTGAGGTAAGGCGCTGTATCTTGTTCACACAGGTAGCAAATGGCGTCGGCGCATTTATTGAATGCTTCATACTTTTGCCACTGATTTAAAATTTTGTGTTGATTTTCATTTTATATTAATCGTGCTGATTTACTCCATATAATAAGACTGTCTCTAGTTTCTCCTGTTCCACGGGTTGATTTCTCTATTCTGCAGTGTTCTGGTTGCCATGCTTATAGCATATCTGGTGCCCTGGAGGGCAAGGCCTCCCAAGCACCATCTTTGTTTTTCTGATTATATTTGTTGCCGAACAAGAATACATGCATATCCTTAATTCAAAGAGGACAGAGACAGGTGGTGAGGACTGTTAACTCCCGGCTCCACTTTCTCCACTTTGCAGAGCTGATCGCTGCTACGGAAGGTGCTCTGCTCACACACAAGCAGGGGACTCCGTGTCTCGCCCACGTGTCCTTTTCTTTTTTAATTTCTTAAATACCTTTATTAATCTACTCATTTATATAAACATAAATATCATCTTTAAAAGCTCCTTTTAAAAAGTGGCATTTTATCGAATTTCTAGATTTGTTTGGCTGAAGAATACATCATTGATTCCTCTCATCCAAGAAAATTGTAATGCTTTCTCCTGTCTTGGGGCTCTGTTTTGGTGACATCTTTTGATAGATTTTAAGATACTTTTATAAATGGGATGTGTACTCTGACTTAGTAGGGCTTAAATATTTGTTGAAGGAATAATAGCTTTAAGATGAACTGTCTCTACTTCTGTGATGTTGTTATTTTTATTTACTTAATTCTGAATTCCTAAACTCTGTTTCTCCCATTGGAGAATATAGACTAATTTATTGTGTATTTTCTAGGAACAGAAAGTTGAAAAGGCGAGTCTTATCTCTTTTGGTGAAAGTGTACCTTGAACACACACTCACACACATATACTCCTAATGAGCATATTTTTAGTTAAATAAGAATGTGCTTTGACTTTAATTCATTACATTGGTTAATCATAGAATGGACATGGCATTTCGTTCTTTAAATTCTGACTTCCTCTTACAGGACATTAATGCACATGCCTGTGTTACTGGTAAACCTATCAGTCAAGGAGGTATCCATGGACGCATCTCTGCTACTGGCCGTGGTGTTTTCCATGGGATTGAAAACTTCATCAATGAAGCTTCTTACATGAGCATTTTAGGAATGACACCAGGATTTGGAGATAAAACATTTGTTGTTCAGGTAAGAAAAAAAATTTATTTTCTTAATAACTGATTGATACTAAGTAAGTTTTTAAATGTTTTTAGATCTGCAATTTTTAAATTCGATTATTTTGAGCCTCTTACATTTTAGAGTGGTTGTTTTCAGAGTAATACATCCTCTGATTTTTGAACCTTGGTATGATTCATATGACTAGAACTAAAATAAATATCTCTCAAGTACACACAAAACAATCACCAACTAACTTCTTGTGATCAATATTTAAACTTGAAATTGTATCGAGAAGAGGAGGTCTCTTAACATAATTTTCTAAAACTATTGTGGGTGAAAGGTTTGCACATTGACCCAAACTTGTTTGATATGCTAACATGTATTTTACTTAAGGGGATCAAAATTAAGTTGACCATTACATTCTTTCTTTCTGTATTTTGAGGCAACAAGGTCTCGCTCTGTTACCCAGTCTGGAGTACAGTGGTACAATCATACCTCACTGTAGCCTTGAACTCCTGGGCTCAAGGGATCCTCCCACCTCAGCCTCCCAAATAGCTAGGACTACAGGCATGCACCACTTCACCTGGCTAATTTTTTGTAGAGATGGGATCTCTCTCTGTTGCCCAGTCTGGCGTCAAACTGGCATCAAGTGATCCTCCCACCTCAGCCTCCCAAAGTGCTAAATTACAGGCATGAGCCACTGTGCCCAGCCCATATTCTTAAACATAGAATTTTATGTTGAAGAGAAGCCAATTAGTACATTTTCTTTTGACAAAAAGATTTTGATAATTGCTTCTAAACTAACAGAATGTAGATTTACACAGGTCAAAATATGACTCTTATAATCTGTACCAGGACTTTAACTTTTGTGTCGTGGGTAATTGTTCTTCCCAGGGATTTGGTAACGTGGGCCTGCACTCTATGAGATATTTACATCGTTTTGGTGCTAAATGTGTTGCTGTTGGTGAATCTGAGGGGAGTATATGGAATCCAGATGGTATTGACCCAAAGGAACTGGAAGACTTCAAATTGGTATGGTAATCTAATATCTGAACAGTTTGACCACCCGTTCGTTGCCTTATAAAGTTGAAATAAGTTTTATTTAACTCTATTGCTTATTTTTTTAAGTGTAACTCGTACAGCTGTTAATAAATTTTTATGTCATAGGCAATAAATATAAACATTTAGATTCTGGTGTAGCCATTAATTCTGATTAAAAAATCAATTACAGCAACATGGATCCATTATGGGCTTCCCCAAGGCAAAGCCCTATGAAGGAAGCATCTTGGAAGCTGACTGCGACATACTCATCCCCGCTGCCAGCGAGAAGCAGTTGACCAAATCCAATGCACCCAGAGTGAAAGCCAAGGTGAAAGCATTTTAGAAATTGCAATCAACATGGTCAATGTGGGATGCCAGTAAGAGGGTCAGAGGAAAGTCTGATTGAGTTGCTTTCTTTTTTTTTAAACAGTTTTTTACCATATAATTTACATACCATACAGTTCATTCATTTAAAGTGAATACACAATATCATGGTTTTTAGTATAATCACAGAGTCGTGCACCTATTACCATGGGTTTCATCTTAAACCAAACTTCCAAAAAGTAGTTAAGAAAACTAGGGAAATAGAAAAGTGAAAGGTAGTGTTCTATACTTTGTAGAGCAAAATAACTTTTATTAATATCATTTTAACTGAAATTGTGCCTCTCCCCACAGCCCCCTGTTCATATGCACGTGTCTCTTGCCCTCCGTGGAGGGAATTTGACAGTGTCGTTGGCATCTCTGTGTTTCTGACTCTCTTGCAGATCATTGCTGAAGGTGCCAATGGGCCAACAACTCCAGAAGCCGATAAGATCTTCCTGGAGAGGAACATTATGGTTATTCCAGTAAGTCATCTATATTTGTCGGGTTTTATATGTACTTGGAATCATAATTGTGTTTTGCAAGGAACTGAGAGAAGAGAGGAATTAGTCTC